AGCCTGGGTAACAAGAGTGAGACTCCGTCTCAAAAAAAAAAAAAGAAGAATGGGGTCTCGCTATATTGCCTAGGCAGGTCTCGAACTCCTGGGCTCAAGCTATCCTCCCACCTCTGCCTCCCTAAGAGCTGGGATTACGGGCATGAGCCACAGCGCCTGGCAATATTTTCATTTTTAGGAGAGACAGGGTCTCATTTTTTTCCTAGGCTGGCCTCCAATTCCTGGCCTCAAGCAATCCTCCTGCTTCACCTTCCCAAAGTGCTGGGACTACAGGCATGAGCCACTGTGCCCGGCCAATTTATTATTATTATTATTTTTTCTTTGAGACGGAGTTTTGCTGTTGTTGCTCAGGCTGGAGTGCAATGACACGACCTCAGCTCACTGCCACCTCCGCCTCCTGGGTTCAAGCAATACTCCTGCCTCAGTCTCCCAAATAGCTGGGATTACAGGCGTACACCACCACAGTCAGCTAATTTTGTATTTTTAGTAGAGACAGGGTTTCTCCGTGTTGGTCCAGCTGGTCTCAAACTCCTGACTTCAGGTGATCTGCCCACCTCAGCCTCCCAAAGTGCTGGGATTATAGGCGTGAGCCACTGCGCCCGGCCCTATTTTTGAGATAGAGTCTCACTCTGTCCCACAGGCTGGAGTGCAGTTGTGTGATCTTGGCTCACTGCAACCTCCACCACCCGGGTTCAAGCTATTCTTCTGTCTCAGACTCCCAAGTAGCTGGGTCTACAGGCGCACGCCACCACACCTGGCTAATTTTTGTATTTTTAGTAGACAGGGTTTCACCATATTTGCCAGGCTGGTTTCGAACTCCTGACCTTGTGATCTACCCGCCTTGGCCTCCTTAAGTGCTAGAATTACAGGCACGAGTCACTGTGCCCAGCCAATTTATTATTTCAAATAACTTGCTGAGAACTCAATACGCCAATGTCTCGTTTGCCCATCTTCCCCAGTGCAGTGCCTGCTCCCTTGGCATAGGGCTGTCCCTTCATCTGATTTGCACTCACACCAGTTCAGCCGACTAGTATACTAATCATCATCTGAGAAAAGGGGAACAGAAGTCAGGGACACAGGTAAGGTGGGGAAGGACTGGACTGAGGGTTTGCGTTTCCAGTTACATTTTTTTTTTTTTTTTTGAGACTGGTATTCCGTTACCCAGGCTGGAGCAGAGCAATGCAGTCATAGCTCACTGTAGCCTTGACCTTCTGGACTCAAGCAATCCTCACACCTTAGCCTCTGGAATAGCCGGGACCACAGGTGTGTGCCGCCATGCCCGGCTAATTTTTTTTTATTTTTAGTAGAGACAAGGGGTCTCACTATGTTGCCCTGGCTGGTCTCAACCTCCTGGGTTCAAGCTGACCCCCCGGCCTCAGGCCATCCTCCTGCCTCAGACTCCTGAAGTGCTGGGATTACAGGTGTGAGCCACCGCACCTGGCCCCAATGAGATTCCTGAGCTGTTGGCATTTGCTTTCACCAAAGGAGACCGAAAGACAGGACGTATGGAGGCCTGATTCCTACCACGAGCCTCCACATCAGTGCTCACTCTCTCTGTGCGTGAACAAAAACCCATCCCAGGAAGGAGAGCCACGCTTATTTCAGCAGGGAGGCGAGTCCTCTCAACTCCGGGAATTCTTCCTCTACATAAACCTCCATTCACCTAGAAAATCGACTGCACAGTAACACAATGGTCAGAGCACAGCGCCTGGCCACGCTGACTGGGTTCCAATTGTCCCCATGCATTCACACGTAGGGGGCTCCCCAGGCAGCATGGGCTGATCCTGTGAGGACACAGGAGGACTTTTTTTTAAAATATAAAAGAAACAGGGTCTTGCCCTGTCACCTAGGCTGGGGTGCAGTGGTGCGATCACAGATAACTGCAGCCTCCAACTCCTGGTCTCAAGTTATCCTCTGCCTCAGCCTTCCAAAGTGCTGGAATTACAGGCACGAGCCACCGAGCCCAGCCTAGGGCCATTTTCAACTACCTTTTTGAAAGAATAGTTAAGCAAAGAAGGGTCTGAGAGTCCCCTGTACACTCTGCTGAGGAGCGACACTGGGGGTGTTAAAAGGAACAAGCCAATTTCTTCAGAGCCATCTCAAGTCACTGGGACCTCTCTCCACACAGGAGATGCACTGACACACGAGGCTTTTTTTGGATCCACAATTTTTCAGCGCAATCACCACTCTCACCCTCTAGGCTCAAGACAGGCTTTAACACATGACACCAAGTCCCACTGTGCTGAGAGCTGCCAGCAGCTTGCTTCACAGGACAGCTGTCATCTCACGGGCAGCACTGCAAGTGCTAAACACAGACACGGAGGAGCTCGGACTACGGAAAATGGGAGTTGGGAAAACGTTTAGCAACTACATGGGATGAAGATGGTGTCACTAACATCTATTCCCCCCCTCCTTTTTTTTTTTTTTTTTGAGACGGAAACTCACTCTTTTGCCCAGGCTGGAGTGCAATGGCACGATCTCTGCTCACAGCAACCTCTACCTCCCGGGTTCAAGTGATTCTCCTGCCTCAGCCTCCCAAGTAGCTGGGATTAGAGGCGTGCACCACCAACGCTCAGCTAATTTTCGTATTTTTAGTAGAGATGGGGTTTCACCATGTGGGCCAGGCTGGTCTTGAACTCCTGGCCTCAAGCCTGCCTCATTCTCCCAAAATGCTGGGATTACAAGTGTGAGTGATGGCACCCAGCCATCTATGCTTCTTTAGTTTTATTCTGATCACATAATCTGTTCTGTTGGCAAGGGCAAACACACCCTTCCTTGTATTTAAAAAAATTTAAATAAAATCAAGCCCCCAAAAGTTGAGGTGTCCCAGGGCCTCATAGATAATGGCGCTTTACCCCACTAGGTCAGAATGCCTTATGAATATCTCCTTTAAGCTCTAAATGAAAAGATTACTCCCTGGCTCAGGTCTGTAATCCCGGTACTTTGGGAGCTCAAGGTAGGTGGATTGTTTAAGCCCGTGAATTCAAAGACCAGCCTGGGCAACAAAGCAGGACTCAATGTCTACAAAAAATAAAAAACCAAAAACGCTCCACACACGAGCATGGATGCAGCTGGAAACCATTATCCTTAGCAAACTAATGCAAGAACAGAAAAGTAAGAATCACATGTTCTCACTTAAAGAACACATGGACAAAGGGGAACAACAGACACCAGGGCCTCCTTGAGGGTGGAGGAAGAAGCTCAGAAAAAATATTATCATTAACTGGTAAATAATCTATATACCGACCCCTGTAACATAAGTTTGCCAACCTGCACATGTACCCCTGAACCCAAAATAATAAAAACTAAAAACTCAGAATGGGGCTGGGTGTCAGAAATCTGTAATCTCAGAGTTTCAGGAGGCTCAGGCAGGAGGATGGCCTGAGGCCAGGAGGTTGAGACTGCAGTGAGCTATGAATGCACCACGGCACTCCTGCCTGGGCAACAGGGCAAGACTCTGTTTCTAATTTAAAAACATAACAAGCAGTGGGCATGGTGGCTCATGCCTGTAATCCCAGCACTTTGGGAGGCCGAGGTGGGCGAATCATGAGGTCAAGAGTTCGAGACCAGCCTGACCAACATGATGAAATGCATCTCTACTAAAAATTCAAAAATTAGCCAGGTGTGGTGGTAGGCGCCTGTAATCCCAGCTACTCAGGAGACTGAGGCAGGAGAATTGCTTGAACCTGGGAGACGGAGGTTGCAATGAGAAGAGATCATGCCACTGTACTCCAGCCTCGGCGACAGAGTAAGACTCAAGTCTCAATAAAAAGATGAAAACTCTCAAATTGGGAAAAAAGTGTAACCCAATAAAAAACATGGATGTACACCATTTGCAGACGAATAGCCACCCCTCCCCATGAGTGCAGCAGTATCCGTCAGAAGCTTGATTAAATGCCAGTAGGCTGGACAGAAGATCACTTGAGCCCAGGAGGTGGGAGACCAGCCTGGGTAACAAACTGTCTCTACAAAATATTTAAAGATTAGCTGGGTATGGTGGCACGTACCTATATTCCCAGCTCCTAAAGAAGCAGAGGTGGGAGCATCACTTGAGCCCAGGAGTGGAGGCTGCAGTGAGCTGTGACTGAACCACTGAACTCCAGCCTGGGTAACAGTGAGACTCTGTCTCAAAATAACCAGACAATGCCAGGGGACATGTCCCATCTGGGCTCTTGTGCTTCCTGGGCCCCTCCCCACGCAGGCTCTGAACAGTGCCAGGCCCTGCTCCCTAGGGAAGTTTATGTCCCAAACTGCAGGAGGTTCAGGGATGTGAGCGAAGCACCAAGCTGGGCCTGGGTCTCTATTCCTTCAGGTGTGGCCTTTGTGTGTCCACTGCACTGCTAAGCCCCAGGAGGCCCTCACCTGTGCCACGCACGGCAACAGAGGCCACCAATTGCGCATGTGGCCACCACTGCCATGCATTTGCAGGTGAGATGTTGCATTTTGCTGACTCCAAGACCCACCCAGCCTCTCTGACCCACTCTAGCTAAACTGGGTGCACCCCTCTTTCCTGGTAGTTAGAGACGATGGCCAGGTACCTGCCACCCCCGAAGCACAGAAACTCACACCTGATGCTGGACACCTGGGGCTCAGGGTGCCATGTTCCCAGTGAGGAAACACGGGTTCCACATGTTGACAGGGAGCAAGAGCAGTAATTGGGAGGACCCAGGACAGGGCACTGCATCCCAGCTGGGAGAGTGAAGCTGCCACATCAAACCAGCAGAGGAGGGTGGGGGAGGGAGCTGGTCCAAGCCCCGGGCTGCTGCGTGGAGGATGAGACCCAAAAGGAATGTCTGAGGGACATGGGTTCCCGGGGAGGGCTGATCAGCGAAAGCACTGGAACACTGCTTGCATGGTATCACAGGCAGAGGGACCTTCCCGCCCTGATCATTTTCAGACTGAGGAGCTCCAGTTCCCTCTAAGGCTGTGCAGGTCACAAGGGAAAGGCGCTGCTCACACACGGCTTCAACAAGGAATGCAGCCAGTGAAGCTTCATGTGGGGCTGCCTGGGGCCCAGCTCCCAGGCACTGGGCTCCCCACGATGCCATGCCGCCTTCACAGAGCCAGGAAAGCTGTGTACACAACACGCTGTGCAGGGACAAAGGCTCTAGGGAGTGCCAGCAACAGTTCCAGTGACAGCCCCAGACCCTCTGGGATGCTCTGAAGGCCTCTCCTGCTATGACAGTTAAGGGAGATTCACAGCATGTCAAGGTCCACGGCTGTGTGCTGCCATCAGGGAGATGACTGGACATCACCTCAGGAGCCATTTCTCTTACCTCCCTCCCTGCCACTATGGTAATGACCACTTTAAAAGAAAAAAAAAAAAAAAAAATGGAATCTCGTGCTGTTGCCCAGGCCAGAGTGCAATGGCATGGTCTCGGCTCCCTGCAACCTCCGCCTCCTGGGTTCAAGCGATTCTCCTGCATCAGCCTCCCAAGTAGCTGAGATTACAGGCACTCACCATCATGCCCGGCTAATTTCTGTATTTTTAGTAGAGATGGGGTTTCACCATGTTGGCCAGGCTGGTCGTGAATGCCTGACCTCAGGTAATCCACCCTCCTCAGCCTCCCAAAGTGCTGGGATTACAGGCGTGAGCCACCATGACCGGCCATCAACCACTTTTAACATCAGAGTAGAGGATGCAAGTTGGAGCTGGGGGTTGACCACTGTCTTGCTCCTTGTCCCAAGTCTCTGAAAACCTGTAACTCCATCAGATCATGGCCTGGAAGGCCCAAGGTTCACAAGGACAAACAGGTTTGCACTAAGAGTAGATATTAGAAATGAAGCTCAGGGGGCCAAGCACAGGGCCTCACACCTATAATCCCAGTGCTTTGGGAGCCAAGGCAGGGGGACTGCTTAAGGCCAGGAATGCTTAAGGCCATTGAGTGGAGGTACAGATGGTTCCCATACACTTTCTTTGCCAAAGCAAAGCCAAGCCACCCCATTACCAACATCACCTTCCAGAGCAGTGCATTGGTTACAATCAGTGCACCTTAGGCTGGGCACTATGGCTCATGCCTGTAGTCCCAGCACTTTTGGAAGCCCAGGTGGGAAGATCACTTGAGCCCAGGAGTTGGATACTAGCCTGGGCAACGTGGCAAAACCCCACCTCCACGAAAAATAAAAATTTATTTTTATTTTTATTTTTTGTAGAGACCAGCATGGGCAATATGGTGAAACTCTGCCTCTACAAAATATTAGCTGGGCACAGAGGCATGTGTCTATAGTCTCTCTCAGCTACTCAGGGGGCTGAGGTGGGAGGACTGCCTGGGCCTGGGGAGGTCAAGGCTGCAGTGAGTGGTGACCATGCCACTGCACTATAGCCTGGGCAACATAGTAAGACCGGAGACTCAAAAAAAAAAAAAAAAACTCAGTTATGTACACTGTGTGGTAAGGACAGAAAGTCTGCATGAATGCTAATAAGGCTGATCCATGGCTGGGGTCTGGGGTGGGTGCCAGGGGCCACTGGCTCTCTGAGCACCACAGTTTCTTCCTAAGACCAGGCAGTGCCCGTCACACACCCCACAGCTCCGTGCGCTTGTACCTCTGAGGCACCCATGAGGCTGTAATCACAGAGCACTCATTCTCCTTACAGGCTCTTGCCTGTGCCTCACATCGGGTGGTGTTTTGCATGTCCCGGTGTCTGTGCAACTGATCAGAGTGCCTGGTGCACATTAAGTCCTTAATAACTGTCATTGAATGCAAAATTAAAGAACCCATGAACGAAAATAAAAATGCCACCACTTGGGATATTATGCAGTGTGGAAAAAAAAAAAAAAGCTATCAAGCCACAAACAGACATGGAGGAAACATCGATATTGCCAAGTGAAAAGAGCCACACAAGGTGGCATTCCAGCTACGGGGCAATCTGAAAAGGCCGAATCAAAGATACAGAGAGGTCGGTGATTTCCAGAAGACTGGATGGGCTGAGCACAGGGGCCTTTCAGGGCAGAGAGGCCGCTCTGTTCAGAATAATACAAGCGGATGCACAGCATCCAACATTTGTTCAAATCACAGAACCCTCAACACCAGGAACAAACCCTAATGGAGACTACAAACTCTGAGTGGTTGTGAAAAGTCAAAGAAGGTGCATTTTGTCTATTTATTTTTAGAGATAGGGTCTTGCTCTCTCGCCCAGGCTGCAGTCCAGTGGTATGATCGTAGCTTACTGCAGCCTCAATCTCCGAGGCTCCAGCAATCCTCCCGCCTCAGCTTCCCAAGCAGCTGAGCCTACAGTTGCACGCCACCACTTGGATAATTTTAAATTTTTATTTTTTGTAGAGGTGGGGTTTTGCCACGTTGCCCAGGCTAGTATCCAACGCCTGGGCTCAAGTGATCTTCCCACCTGGGTTTCTAAAAGTGCTGGGACTACAGGCATGAGCCATGGTGCCCAGCCTAAGGTGCACTGATTGTAACCAGTGCACTGCTCTGGAAGGTGATGTTGGTAATGGGGTGGCTTGGCTTTGCTTTGGCAAAGAAAGTGTATGGGAACCATCTGTACCTTCCACTAGATTTTCCTGTGACCCTAAAACTACTCTAAGAGTAAAGTTATTTAAAAAACACAAAAGCAACAAGCGTGGTGGCTCATGCCTGTAATCCCAGCACTTTGAGAGGTTGAGGTGGGAACATCACGAGGTCAAGAGATTGAGACCCTCCTGGCCAACATGGTGAAACCCCGTCTCTCCTAAAAATACAAAAATAAGCTGGGCGTGGTGGCGCATGTCTGTAGTTCCAGCTACTCGAGAGGCTGAGGCAGGAGAATCACTTGAACCTGAGAGGTAGAGTATGCAGTGAGCCGAGATGGCACCACTGTACTCCAGCCTAGCGACAGTGCGAGACTCTGTCTCCAAAACCACCAACCAACCAACCAACACCAGGCGCAGTGGCTCACACCTATAATCCAAGCATTTTGGGAGGCCCAGGCGGGTGGATCTCAAGGTCAGGAGTACAAAACCAGCCTGACTAACGTGGTAAAACACCATCTATACGAAAAATACAAAATTTCGCCGGGTGTGGTGGCCCATGCCTGCAGTCCCAGCTACGCAGGAGGCTGAGGCAAGAAAATCACTTGAACTTGGGAGGCAGAGGTTGCAGTGAGCCGAGATCATGCCACTGCACTCTAGCCTAAGCGACAGAGCAAGACTCCATCTCAAAATAAAAAAAAAAAAAACAATCAACCACCAAACACAAAAGCCCAGTGGGGCTGCCGACATGCCTGCCCCGCCCCACCTCACCTGGCCGTCGTGCCTGCGCTTCTTCATGAACTGGGTGATGCACATACTGCCCGCTGACTTCCTCTTCAGTGAGACAGGAGTACCCTGGCCGGGCCCCATGGAGGGGATGCCACCATTGTCCTCTCTGGGGGCTGAGGGCACCGTGGTCACGTAGCTCCACTGGCACGGCACAGGCAGGTGCTCCTGTTCGAAGCTCCGTAGCACCTGCGGGTGCACGTACCAACACATCCTGAAGTCAGGCCGCTTCTCGTACACTGAGTTCTCGGAAATGAGCCGCTTGAGCCGGGACTTGGAGGGGACAGTGGCATCCTCGCCAGGGGCCGGGGTGTGCAGGCAGGTGGCAGAGGGGCTCAAGGGGCTGCCGTTGTGCTTGCTGAGCAGTCCGCGGCGGCAGTGCTCCTGGAACTCCCGGATGATGACCTTGCTCCCGTTCACGTTGCCATGCAGCAGCGGCAGCAGCTGGGCCAGGACTGGCGAGAGGGAACATGGGTGGGCATGAGGCTTGGGGAGACACGCACCACCACAGGCCAAGGTGGGGGAACCACACACAGCTCCTCATTGCCATTGAGGCTTGGGGCACAGCCAGCTTCGGGGACAGGAGGCTTCATAAGGGCAATCTTAAGAAAGGGCAGCACCCACACACCTGCCCAGAAGTGAGCCTCAGCCAGGCACGTGCATTGCCCTGGCTGACTTTGAATGCCTGCTGTTCCTACCCCAATGGTTGCCCTGCTCTCCTTGTATGCCATGGTCCCTCCCTAGTTTTTTGAATTTTTTTTTTTTTGAGACGGAGTTTCACTCATGTTACCCAGGCTGGAGTGCAATGGCGCGATCTCGGCTCACCGCAACCTCCGCCTCCTGGGTTCAGGCAATTCTCCTGCCTCAGCCTCCTGAGTAGCTGGGATTACAGGCACGCACCACCATGCCCAGCTAAGTTTTTTTTTTTTGTATTTTTAGTAGAGACGGGGTTTCACCATGTTGACCAGGATGGTCTCGATCTCTTGACCTCGTGATCCACCCGCCTCGGCCTCCCAAAGTGCTGGGATTACACGCTTGAGCCACCGCGCCCGGCCTAGTTTTTGAATTTTTTTTTAAGGCAGGGGCTCACTCTGTCGCTCAGGCTGGAGAGCAGTGGCAGGATCATGGCTCACTGTAGCCTTCTAGGCTCAAGCAGTCCTCCCACCTCAGCCTCCTGAGTAGCTAGGAACACAGGTGTGAGATACCATGCCCAGGTCATTTTACATTTTCTGCAGAGATGGGGTTTTGCCATGTTGCCCAGGCTGGTGTCGAAGCACAGGGCTCAACCAATCCTCCCACCTTGGCTTCCCAAAGTGCTAGAATCACAGGCGTGAGCCCACTGTGCCTGGCCCCTCCTTGGCTTTTGAGAAAGCATAACCCCCACTCTAGCACTGTGGGTGCCCATGTCCTGGTTGATAAAACAAGCCAATTAAGGGACCTGCCTTGTCCTGCCACTGGGGACATCATCAAATGTACGAACGTGTATGAGAAGAGGGCTGGCCGCTGTTATTTGTGGGAAGAATGTTTGCATCACGGACCCACTAGCCTGTAAGACTCTTGCCCTCAGCCCTGGAATTGGCTGGGCCTGACCACGTCCCTGAGGAGGGGAGGTCTCGCCCACACTCACTTTGCTGGTCCCTCTTCTCCCGCTTGGAGGCCTTGGGTGTCTGTTCCTCCTGGGTGGGCGCGGTCTCCAGGAAGCAGGCTGCAAACTGCTGCAGCACCTTCAGGTCCTCCTCCTCACAGTCCCCATCAGCCACCCACACGCAGCCGATTTTCACAGGTTGCAGGACGCGGAACCGCTTCCCCTTGGCCAGAAACTCGTCCCACTCCTTAGCCTTCAGTTTCTGGCGGACCTTGTGGTTCTCAGGGTCAGCGCACTCCTAGTGGGTTAGAAAGCAGAAATTTATTTGGAGTTCTCGCTCCACTATTCCCAGGCACTCTTTTGAGATTCCAGTCCCCAGACAGGGAGCAAGAGAAAAGGATGTGTAAAGCTGCTGACAGTGTCAGGGCCAGAGCAGAGCATACCATGTGCTGGCCATCCCTCTTCCAGATAGAATTATTCTACATGGAATAATTGACACCTGGTCTTTTCTGGGAGAGTCACAGACATTTCTGAGCTCACCCATCAGGCCTCTTTTAACACCACTCTCAATTTTCTGGTGAATGTGTGATTGTGGAGCCGTTTAACAGGGTTGAGTGCCTGTCTGCACGGCCCAGTCATCGGGCAGACACAAGCAGGGCCTGAGACCACTCTCTGACAGACATTTCAGGACTCGGTGGTCAGATATGCACAAGGAATGGAGACCCTCAAGTCCGACCCTGAGACAGTCACACCAAATCCCTGCTTCCCAAACGACAGGCCTTCAGAGCCCCAAAAACAACTTGCTTGAAAGTTCTACAACCTTACAGAATCTGGAAAGGGGTGGCAGGCAGGTTCGCCTGCAGAGACGTGGGACCTTCTGGAGAGATGGGGAAGTTCTACGCTTTATTTTGGGCTGTGGTTACACATATCCACTCGGCTGTTGTAAGTCATCAAACTCAACACTTAGGATGCACACGTCTTGGTACATGCTGACTGTACGTCTGATAGAGTGGTTTCCAGCCCTCTAACCCACAGGCCACGGCCATGCTCCCTCACCAGAGTGTCTGCTCACTTGCAATTTCGTCTTATGTCTGCCACCCTCCCAGGTGATGCTAAGTTCAGGCCCAGCCATTCCGACAAGTGAGCTTGCATGCTGGGAACACAGTTCAAATCGCCTATGGCTGGGTGGGGACTCCCGTCACCCTCCCAGGTCAGGCCACCAACCACCAGTCTGTGAATGAGTTTTTTCTGAGCCAGCGACCTCCCTTTCACTCCCTCACCTCTGTCACACCTTCGTCCTCAGACAGGTACCCATGGGGCACAAAGAAACCATCGTCCTCATCTTCATCCTCTCCCACGTCGTCATCATCATCCTCAAAAGGAGAACAAAAGAGTTCATCAGATAGAAAAGTAGAGCATGTGTCTTATTAAAAACAATAAATTGGCCAGGCACGGTGGCTCACGCATCTAATCTCAGTACTTCGGGAAGCCAAGGTAGGTGGATCACTTGAGCTCAGGAGTTCAACACCAGCCTGGCTAACATGGTGAAACTCCATCTCTACTAAAAATACAAATTTTAGTTGGGCACCTGTAATCCCAGCTCCTAGAGAGGCTGGGGCAGGAGAACCACCTGAACCCGGAAGGCGGAGGTTGCAGTGAACTAAGATCGTGCCACTGCACTCCAGCCTGGGTGATATAGCAAGACTGTCTTAAACCAAAAAAATGTAACGCTGTGAACATCTGTTTGGCATGGCCTTCTGACGGACACTGAGCAATTAGCAGAAAGCCACCAAGTCACAGCGGCTGTGCTGTCAGGTAGAAATGGTGAGTAACAGACTGGCAGGAGGTGAGATGGAGCTGCAGGGCCACAGTGCAGATGCAAACGGGATTCTACCCCGGGCAGCCATGCAGGCGAGTGTCGCCAGGTGAGATCTTTCGAGCAAAGCTCAAAGTGTGGATGTTAAGGGAGATTTGGGTTTCAGACCACACAGCAGGCCAAACAAAAGCTGTCCAAGAGTGAACACAGCTGGGTGTGTCCTTACCCCTTCACTGTGAGACAGGGACTCCCCGGGTTCCTCTTCTTCCCACTCCTCATCGCTGTCCACTTCATAGTCGAGGAGCTTCTGAGAAAAGAAATACACGGGACTCACGACTGCCTTCAGGGCTGGAGGGAAGGGGCACAGCGAGGTGGTACAGGGACGGAGGCCTGCTCGGGTCCGCTCACCGTGTCCTGGGCCCAGGGGTCTCGGGCACGGATGAGCGTCGTCTTCTTGTTCCAGGTACCCCAGTAGGCTGGCCGGTGGTTCTCACAGAACTGCAGGAGCTTCATCCTGCCGAACTTCCTCCTCTCGGGAACACTGTCGCCCTTCCCAGGCTCCACAATCACAACATCACTAAGAAGGAAAACTCTGGGCTCAGGATCGTGCTGCCCTAGACTCGCTCACACACCACCCAGGGACCTCCCAGTGAAGCTGGCCTGACAATTCCAGAAAGTTGGGAGATCGTAAAAACCAGCACTACCTGTCCCCAGAGAAAGGCCAGGAACGTGGACTCGAGGGACAGAGAGAGGAGGGTGCAGCCTGCAGGAGGAGAGGGAGGAAGGCTGCCCAGGTTCAGCCCCAGAGCATTTTTAGCAAGTGGAGTTGAATGGAGCCAGGAAATCTGCAAGAGCAGGGGGTGTCCTTCACTGGAGCCAGGAGGGGCTGGGAAGACAGGAAGAAGAAAACTTCAGGGGCTCATAGGAAGGCCAGGTGGAGAGATGCCTGAGCCAGCAGAAGACGAGCAGCAGAAGGCCCCCGAGCTCCTGCCTCGGGGACCGCAAGATTTGGGCAGCTGCCCTCCAGCGTCACTAGTGGGCAAAGGCCAACCTGCTTGGGCTCTGACCTGTTGAAAATGTCTGCGTTCTGGGTGGAAACCTGGGTGGGTCCGGACCTCAGAGGCTGCCGGCCTTTGAGGTCTTTCAAGAAGGATAATTCGCCATTCTGCTGCTGAAGGAGCTGGTCTAGCTGACTGCAGAGGTCTGGGTCGAAAACAGTCCGATACTGAGGGGCCAGGACCATGTGCTCTTTAATTTCAAAGGGGGCAAACTTTCCACAGGAGCCAGCAAGGGTCTGAAATAAAGAAGAGACCCAGTGGGGTCTTCAAGCAATGGGAGAAAGGAGGCACCATGGACACACAGCGGGGTGCTGGTGGGATTCACCCAGGCTAAGGGCAAGGCGCAGACTCAAAAACCCAGGCACTATGTAGATCCACAGAGCCGAGTTTCCAGAGCTACAGGAAGGAGGTCAGATCAGGAGTCTTAAGGGACAGGATGTGGGGACAGACTAAAAGGGTGATGGAAATAGTGTGTATCTTCATTATGGTTAGCAGGCCCTGTAATTTGTCAATATGAAATTCCTGAAAAGGATGTGTTTTATTGCATGTAAATTATATCTCAACAAACATTGCTTAAAAAAAAAAAAAAAAAAAAAAACCAGGGCAGCACAGTAGTTCAGGCCTGGAATCCCAGCACTCTGGGAGGCCGAAGACAGTGGATCACCTAAGGTCAGGAGTTTAAGACCAGCCTGGTGGCCGGGCGCGGTGGCTCAAGCCTGTAATCCCAGCACTTTGGGAGGCCGAGGCGGGTGGATCACAAGGTCAAGAGATCAAGACCATCCTGGTTAACATGGTGAAACCCCGTCTCTACTAAAAATACAAAACATTAGCTGGGCATGGTGGCGCGTGCCTGTAATCCCAGCTACTTAGGAGGCTGAGGCAGAAGAATTGCCTGAACCCAGGAGGCGGAGGTTGCGGTGAGCCGAGATCGTGCCATTGCACTCCAGCCTGGGTAGCATGAGTGAAACTCCGTCTCAAAAAAAAAAAAAAAAAAAAAAAGACCAGCCTGGACAACATGGTGAAACCCTGTCTCTACAAAAAAATAAAAAAATTAGCCAGGGGTGATGGCGGGCACCTGTAGTCCCACTACTAGGGAGGCTGAGGCAGAAGAATCACTTGAACCCAGGAGGTGGAGGGTGCACTGAGCCGACATTCTGCCACTGCACCCCAGCCTGGGCGACAGAGTAAGACTCTGTCTCAAAAAAAAATAATAATAATTTAGAGACAGGGTCTTACAGTGTCGCCCAGGCTGGTCTCCAACTGCTCTGTTTTTCTGAGATAGAATCTTGCTTTATCACGTAGCCTGGAGTGCACTGGCACGATCTTGGCTCACTGCAACCCGCTCCTCCTGGATTCAAGGGATTCTCCTGCCTCAGTCTCATGAGTAACTGGGATTATAGGTGCCCAGCACCATGCTCAGCTAATTTCTGTATTTTTACTAGAGACAAGATTTCACCATGTTGGCCAGGCTGGTCTTGAACTCCTGACTTCAGGTGATCCACTTGCCTTGGCCTCCCCAAGTGCTGGGATTGCAGTCGTGAGCCACTGCACAAGGCCAAAAGTAGAAATTTCTGTATAACAAAAGACTCTGTAAACAAAAGACTCTGTAAACAAAAGTAGACTGAGATGAAATATCTGAGGATTAAATACCAGACTGTAAAAAAACTCTTATTACAGAACAAGCCAAAAAAAAGAAGAAATTTTTTTAAAAAAAAAAAAAAAAAAAAAAAAAAGGGGTAAAAAATAGGAATTGGCAAGTCACAGAAGAACTAAAATGGGAAACCAACATAAAAAAATGCTCAACTGCACCAAGAATCAAGTAAAAATGGAAAGTAAAACAAGAATATCAATTTTTTAAAAATGCATCAGGCTGGCAAAGTTAAAATTCATTCCATCCACTAATATCACAGAATCAGGAAGAGACATTTTCAGGCATTGCCAGGAATGTGCATCTGAGTTTTTCCCGTCTGGCGGGCACTCTGGTCAGGGCTAATGACGTTTCAGCAATGTGCTGTTTTGTTCTAGAGGCGAATCATGCTTAGTTTGCTGTCCCAAAGGAGGCATGTGTGCAGAGAAGCATACGCAGGAACCCCTACTGTGCCACTGAGGGCAGAGAAGCTGAGATAGCAGCAGGCTCTGTTGCTGAGAGAACTGCTGAGGCCAGGAGGTCGAGACCAGCCCTGGCAACACAGACCCCATCTCTGCTACGAATAAAATTAGGGAGGCTGAGGTGAGCACATCATCTCACGTCAGGAGTTCAAGATCAGCCAGGCCAATACGGTGAAACCCTGTGTCTACTAAAAATATAAAAAATTAGTGAGACATGGTGGCGGGTGCCTGTAATCCCAGCTACTCAGAAGGCCAAGGCAGGAGAATTGCTTAAACCCAGGAGGTGGAGATTGCAGTGAGCTAAGATCGAGCCACAGCATTCCAACCTGGGTGACAGAGCAAGACCCCATCTTAAAAAACTAAACAAATGAATAAATAAAATTTAAAAAAAAAGAGAGAGAAACTATGATATCATTGCATTATTAAGTATTATGCAACAGTGAAAATAAATGACACGGCCGGGCGCGGTGGCTCACGCCTGTAATCGCAACACTTTGAGAGGTCGAGGCAGGCAAATCATCTGCAGTTGGGAGTTCGAGACCAGCCTCATCAACATTGAGAAACCCTGTCTCAACTAAAAATACAAAATTAGCCGGGTGTGGAGGCACATGCCTGTAATCCCAGCTATTCGGGAGGCTGAGGCAAGAGAACCACTTGAAACTGGGAGGTGGAGGTTGTGGTGAGCTGAGATCACGCTACTGCACTTCAGCCTGGGCAACAAGAGCAAAACTCCGTCTCAAAAAAAAACAAACAAAAAAACAGTACTCGCTTCAGCAGCACATATAACAAAATTGGAACAATACAGAGAAGATTAGCATGGCCCCTGCACAAGGATGACACAAAAATTCGTGAAGCGGTCCATGTTTTTTTTTTTTTTTTTAAATAAAAGGAGAAAGAAATGACATGGGCCTGTGTCACTACGGAATGTGTAGATACAACAATGTCATGTTGTGTACCTTCAAGATATGCAATTGTTGTGAAATATTTTGAGATACAAATAAAAGGATAGGCCAGGAGCAGGGGCTCATGCCTGTAATCCAAGCACTTAGAGGCCAAGGCTAGGAGAAGATTTCGAGGCCAGAAGGTCAGGACCAGCTGGGCAACATAGGAAAATCCCGTCTGTACAAAAAAATTTAAAAATTAGGCCGGGCGCAGTGGCTCATGCCCATAATCCCAGCACTTTGGGAGGCTGAGGTGGGCTGATCACTTAAGGTCAGGGGTTCGAGATCAGACTGGCCAGCACAGTAAAACCCTGTCTCTTCTAAAAATACAAAAATTAGCTGTGTGTGGTGGTGTGCACCTGTAATTCCAGCGACTCAGGAGGCTGAGGCAGGAGATTCACCTGACCTCAGGAGACAGAGGTAGCAGAGAGCCGAGACTGCGCCACTGCACTCCAGCCTGGGCGACAGAGTGAGACTCTGTCTCAAAAAAAAACGCTGGCCAGTCTGATCTCGAACCCCTAAAATTAGCCAGGTGTGGTGGCATATGCCTGTAGTCCCAGCTACTCGGAAGGCTGAGGTGGGAGGATCACCTGACCCTGAGAGGTCAAGACTGTAGTGAGCTGTGACTGTGACACTGCACTCCAGCCTAAGTGACAGTGTGTGACCCAGTCTCAAAAATAAATAAATAAAACGGCAGATAGATACATTAAAAAGAATGAAATACATCTAAATATGGCAACATGACACATACCCAAGACGGCTAAGTACACATGTGTATGAACAGACAGTGAGTGGAGCAGGGAAAGGCATTGAAGGCCCGCTAACATTGGAGATGGGCTCCCTCTGGGTAAAAGGGAAGGAGGGCTGTGGTTTCCATGCACAGATGGTGGCTCAGAAGGTCTGAGCTGTCAAGTGACCAATGCCAGGCGGGGAAAGTAAATCTTTGTGAATTCTACTGTTGTTTTGAGGCTAAGCTTCCCCTCAAGCGTAAGTTTCCCAAGGGTAAAAACATGGTTAACTTCTCTTAACGCCTAACACAAAATTACTCATGAAGCAGCCTCTGAAAACAGCACTTTTTAATCAGACGCCACTTTTTACCTTTTTGGGTCAAAGTGAAGACAAAATATTGAGCCTCAAGAGTTTTTACCAGAAACGGAACTTCCCTGGCTCACCGGAGGCTCCGTGCCTCATAATCAGAGAAGCTGGCTGGTGACAGATCCTTTCACTTTCAGAGAGGAAAAGAGCTGAAACTCGAAAGCAAAGGCAGCTGGCTGCTCACCTTGGGGGCCTGTGGAGTCTTTGGTTTCTGGAAGAACCTGGTGATTTCGGCCTTCTCTGCTTTAATACGCTGTGATGTAAGAGAAGGTTATGAGAAAGAAGAGAGGAAGAGACACAGTGCGCGCTTCAAAGCATGCAAATGTCCCCCCAGCACCAAAACTCAAGCATGTTAACTCGAAGGCTCTACTGTGATTTTTTAAGCTCTCAAAACCCACGGACCCGCAACCATGCCAGCCAATCTCAAAATGCCTGAGTTGCCCTTGCAGGTGGAAGTGCCAGGGTATGGGGCCAGTAGGCATGTGACAGGCCAGAACCGGAAAGAAGCAAAAGGATGCATCTAGACAGATTCGTCCCTCCCGTGGGCGCCATTTGGTTTCCTCAAACCAAGAGAACATTAGGCGACCACCCTGTGCATCTGCTTCTTCAACGGGCTGGGATGGGGAAGTACTGAAGGAAACACGCTACCTTCTCCTCTTCTCTTAACCGTTTCTCTTCTTCCTTTTTCCTTTTCTCCTCAAGTTTAGCCCTATGAGACAGCAAATGACATTTCAGCCGACTCTTTGCTATGGTTCTGGAAGGGACCACGGCATGCAACTGTTAGTATGTGGCAAGTATTTAATTTTACAGTAACGAATATGTTACTTTCACGTTACTATAAAGCTATAACATAGGCCTTCACAATAAAAATGGAAAATAGACAACAAAATTTTTTCTATGACTAGAATATATATATATATATATATATATATATATAAAAGACTTCAGCCAGCCGATGCATAATTACCACAAACAAAACCCATATTCCTGTGATGCAAATGCCTCAGTTGGTTGGGAACTGGAACGACAGTCACAGGCAGAGACAAGGGGCCCAGGGCGAGTGGACTTGGGGGAGCACAAAAGAGCAGGGAGCTGCTTTCCACCACTCCCACGTCAGGGCCGCACGTGCAGCTCACACAGGAGAAACAGAAAGGAACTGATGGGAGCCCCAATCTGCCTGCGAAACGCCAAAGGCCCATCACAGTGGCCAGAAGTGGAATCCAGCAGCGGGGAGGTAGGCCCAGCATGGCTGAGGGCACTCACTCCAGGGCTTCCTGCCTTTCCTTGCGCCGCTCCTCCTTGAGCCGCTGCTTCTCCGCCTTCTCCTTCTCATCCTTCTCCCGTTTCTCCCGCCTCTCCTTTTCCTTCAGCTCCTTCTCTTCCTCCCTCTTCTTCTTGGCCTCTTCCTTGGCCCGCTTGGCCTCCTCTTTCAGCTTCTCCTTTTCTTCTCTTTCTGCACGTAACTTGAGCTGTTTGCCCAGGCGCTCCTGATCCTACAAGACAGTGTGGCAGGTGACAGGTGGCCTTCTTGCCAGCCACCAGGAGGGAGCTCAAGACAGTGTCAAGTGGCCCTCTCTCTAGCTCCCAGGAGGAAGCTCTGATCAGAGCATGCGGGACGGCTGGACCTAGATGACAGGGACAGAATTTGGGGACCAAGGCCAGGTGCAGTGGCACGTGCCTGTAATTCCAGCACTTTGGGAGGCCAAGGTGGGTACATCACCTGAGGTCAGGAGTTCAAGACCAGCCTGGTCAACATGGTAACACCCCGTCTCTACTAAAAATACAAAAATTAGCCAGGCGTGGTAGAGGGTGCCTGTACTCCCAGCTACTCAGGAGGTTGAGGCAGGAGAATCACTTGAACTCAGGAGACCTAGGGTGCAGTGAGCTGAGATCACACCATTGCACTCCAGCCTGGGCAACTAAGTGAGACTCAGTTAAAAAAAAAAAAAAAAAAAAAATGAATTCAGAGACCAGCTCCAGGAAGCGCCTCCAATCAACAACCTTACACAGAAGTAATTTTATTTTTTTTGAGATGAAGCCCACTCTGTTGCCCAGGCTGGAGTACAGTGGTGCAGTCACAGCTCGCTGCAGCCTCGACCTCCCAGGCTCAAGCAATCCTCCTGCCTCAGCCTCCTGAGTAGCAGGGAATACATGCATATGCCACTATCCCCAGGCATTTTTATATTTTTCCTAGAGATGGAATTTTGCTGTGTTGCTTAGACTGGTCTTGAACACCTGGGCTCAAACAATCCCTCTGCCTCAGCCTCCCAAAGTGTTGGGATTATAGGCATGAGCCATAGCACCCAGCCACAGAAGTGATTTTCATCATCCATTATGCTTCCCTCCGTCATAAGAAAAATGTTAATAATTAGCCCTGTGTCCCGGTACTTGTGGGCAAGTCAATATAAGATTCATTTAAAACACAATCTGGCTGGTGCAGTGGAGCTCACTCCTATAATCCCAGCACTTTGGGGGGCTGAAGCAGACAGATTGCTTGAGGCCAGGAGTTCGAGAACAGCCTGGCCAACAAGGTAAAACCCCATCTCTACTAAAAATACAAAAAATTTAGCCAGATGTGGCAACGCACACCTACAGTTCCAGCTACTCAGGAGGCTGAGGCACAAGAATCACTGGAACGCGGAAGGCAGTTCAAGATCACGCCATGGCATTGCAGCCTGGGCAACAGAGCGAGACTCTGCCTAAAAACAAAAATCCCCAAAAACATTTACTAATTTGGAGATGGGGTCTCGTTCTAGTGCCCAGGCTGGAGTTCAGCAGCACTATCTTGGCTCACTGAAACCTCCGTCCTGGGCTCAAAGCAATCTTCTGGCTGGGCGTAGTGGCTAACATCTATAATCCCAGCACTCTGGGAGGCTGAGGCGGGTGAATCACAAGGTCAGGACCTCAAGACCGACTGGCCAATATGGTAAAACCCTGTCTCTACTAAAAATACAAAAAAAAAAAAAAAAAAATAGCTGGGCATGGTGGTGTGCACCTGTAGCCCCAGCTGCTCGGGAGGCTGAGGCAGGAAAATTGCTTGAACTCGGGAAGCAGAGGTTGTAATGAGCCCAGATGTGCCACCGTACCCCAGACTGGGAAACAGAGCAAGACTCCATCTCAAGAACAAACAAACAAACAAAAAAGCAATCTTCCTGCCTTAGCCGCATGAGTAGCTGGCACCACAGGCACCTATCACCACACCTGGCTAATTTTTGTAGAGACAGTCTCACCATGTTGCAGAGGCTGATCTTGAACTCCTGTGCTCAAGCAACCTGCCCACCTCAGCCTCCCAAAGTGCTAGGATTATAGGCATGAGCCATCACAGCCAGCCCAGGTTTTTTTCTCTCTTTTCTTTTTTGAGACAGAGTCTCGCTCTGTCACCAGGCTGGAGTGCAATGGCGCCACCTTGCTCACTGCAACCTCGAACTCCCTGATTCAAGCGATTCTCCTGCCTCAGCCTCCTGAGTAGCTGGGACTCAGCACATGCCACCACGCCCAGCTAATTTTCGTATTTTTAGTAGAGACAGGGTTTTCCCACATTGGTCAGGCTGGTCTTGAACTCCTGACCTCTTCTTGATCTGCCCGCCTTGGCCTCCCAAAGTGCTGGGATTACAAGCATGAGCCACCATCCCCGGCCTCAAATTCTTTAAGGGAGTAATACTTCATTAACAGGTTCTTCATTCCAAAGATTTGGTAGTGCCCTGGGACACTGAATCATTATGTGATCTGAAGTTAATGTTAAACATGCTCAGCTGGGCGTGGTGGCTCACGCCTATAATCCTGGCACTTTGGGAGATCAAGGCAGATCACTTGAGGTCAGGAGTTTGAGACCAACTTGGCCAACATGGTGAAACCCTGTCTCTACTAAAAATACAAAAATTAGTCAGGAGTGGTGGTGTGTGCCTGTAATCCCAGCTACTCAGGAGGCTGAGGCAGAAGAATTGTTTGAACCCTGGAGGCGGAGGTTGCAGTGAGCGGAGATCTCGCCACTGCCCTCCAGCCTGGGCAATGGAGGGAAAACTCCATCTTAAAAAAACAAAACAAAATGATCACCTGCTTGGCTCGACAGGTGCCCACTCCAAGCACAGCATGAGGACCATCTCTCATCCAATACGGGCTTTCCACATATGGAGCCCGATAGCTCAGCTTTCAGTTTGGGTTAAGAATATCTGCCTTTGTCTCTCAGGAAATGCTCTAAATGTGTCCCAGTACATCTCTGGTAGCCTTAACAAAAGCCAGGGAGACACAGTCTGAAAGATGTCGATTTTCATTTCTTGCCAGCATCCTGTGTAACTGCATCTGACATACAACACAGATGACAAAGGTGACTGTCTGGACTGAACAAGGACACTCTCAACATAGCTGTGGGTGGAGCAGAGTCTCCTGCCCTGTTCCTAAGCAGGAAATAGAAGGCTTCTAGAAACTGCAGGTGAATCAGATTTCTTCAGCCACACTTGGGTATTTTCTCCTCCGACGTGTGCGGGACTCAGAGGTGCCAATGAGCTTCAAAAGAGTTCGCATTCTGGCCGGGGGTGGTGGCTCATGCCTGTAATCCCAACACTTAGGGGAGGCTGAGGCGGGCAGATCACTTCAGGTCGGGAGTTCAAGACCAGCCTGACCAAAATGGAGAAACCCCGTCACTACTAAAAAATAAAATTAGCCAGGTGTAGTGGCGCATGCCTGTGATCCCAGTTACTCTGGAGGCTGAGGCAGGAGAATTGCTTGAAACCGGGAAGTGGAGGTTCTGGTGAGCCAAGATTGAGCCACTGCACTACAGCCTGGGCAACAAGAGTGAAACTCTGTCTCAAAAAACAAAAACCAAAACAAAACAAAAAAAGAGTTATCCTTCCAAAGAGTGAGATAAACTGTAAAAATAAAAATCAGGCTGGGCACGGTGGCTCGCGCCTATAATCCCAGCACTTTAGGAGGCCAAGGTGGGTGGACCACCTGAAGTTAGGGGTTCAAGACCAGCCTGGCCAATATGGTGAAACCCTGTCACAAAAAAAAAAAAAAAAAAAAAAAAAATTAGCCAGGTGTGGTGGTGCACGCCTGTAATCCCAGCTACTCGGGAGGCGAAGACAGGAAAATTGCATGAACCCTGGAGGTGGAGGCTGCAATAAGCCAAGATTGCGCCACTGCACTCCAGCCTGGGCAACAGAGCGAGAGACTATCTCAAAAACAGAATTAATGTAAAAATCAACCCCAAATCTGACCCACAAAAATACAGTGCGCTGTCAGGAAGCTCAAGAAACGCCCAGTGAACACAGAGCTGATGGTCACCAGGCCCCTCCTGTGAGCTGGCAGTATAGGCAAAGCCCAGAGGCCTTCCCTGCAGTTTTCGTTTGTTTTGGTATAACATGATGTTCAACTTCTCTAATCTTTAGGCAGTAAGTAAAAAGGCCTCTGGTGATGCCCCCCACAGAATAAGAAACTCAGCAGGGAGTTCCTAAAGGATAATCAGCCATCAAGTGTAGGGGCTATTAAGATGTTACAGAACTTAGGAAGAAGTGGAACTTAAATCCCTATTAAAGAGTTGGGACTGCAGAGAAAGGGACTGGGGTTTCTGGAAGGTAATTTTAAGCTACAGTGGGATGAGGAACCATTAAGAGAGTGGAAATACTACTGATAAATGCTTAGAAAAGGCCACACACAAAATCTTAGGACCCAGCAAAGCAAAAACTGACACAATCCACGCACCATCAAGCCCAGGTAAATAAAATGAAGCAAGAATCAAAATGATGGTCAGAGAAGGCTGGGGAAAAGTAAAAACGGGACCAAAGGAATTGCAAAGGGCTTTGCTTACTATTTAATGCAAAAAGCACAGCAGGTTAATTTTCTATTTCAGGAAAAATGTCTTACTCTTTGCAGTCTGAGCTTGTTCTTCTCTGTAGAACCTTTGACGAATTTCTTAGTTATCTGAAATGAAAGACATTTATCTTTAAACACCAGTTATTTCAATTGCTTCAAGAAAAAGAGAAACTTTTCCAGGTGGTCAGTTTTTCCACCAACAGAACCAAAATGTCATGGTATAGTCATAAACTCCAATGAGTGTGCACACGTGTATCTGGGATTAGATAACAAGGGAGACTGTGGAGGCAGATAAAGAAATGAGTGAAGCAGGCCACACACAAGAAAAACAAGGCAAGCTCAGAAATAAAAGCAACAGACAAGGCTGGGTGTGGTGGCTCATGCATGCAATCTTAGCACTTTAGGAGGCTGAGGCAGGCAGATCACCTCAGGTCAGGAGTTTGAGACCAGCTTGGCCAACATGGCAAAACCCTGTCTCTACTAAAAATACAAATAATTAGGCATGGTGGCGGGCCACTCGGGAGGCTGAGGCAGAAGAATCGCCTGAACACAGAGGAGGAGGCTGCAGTGAGCCGAGATGGCGCCACTGCACTCCAGCCTGGGCTACATAGTCAGACTGTCTCAAAATAAATAGATGCTAAGTTAATCAAGTAAAACATGTTTCCAGGCTGGTTTCCTGTGAACCACTAATTTACATTCTGTCTAACCCCACTCTGCTTTTTATATTTTTTCATTTTTAATTGTTTTTGAGATGGAGTCTCGTTCCCATTGCACAGGCTGGAGAGCAGTAGCACAGTCTCGGCTCACTGCAACCTCTACCTCCTGGGTCCTAGTGCTTCTCCTTCCATAGCCTCCAGAGTAGCTGGGATTACAGGCACGTGCCACATGCCTGGCTACATTTTGTATTTTTAGTAGAGATGGGGTTTCACCATGTTGGCCAGGCTGGTCTCGAACTCCTGACCTCAGGTGATCCACCTGCCTCCGCCTCCCAAAGTGTTAGGATTACAGGCGTGAGCCACCGCGTCCGGCCAACTCTGCTTTTTAGAACGTGGAGTGAGAGCTTAAGACAAAAGGGAAACTTGCTGGCGTTGTCTAGGACCTCTATATTCTAGGGCACAATATTCTCTATCATCTACCTTCATACTGAGCTTGGGCTACTAGGAATTACTAACAGAACCCATGGTGTGCCTCACCATCCACCTAAATGGTCCTGGGGCGGAAGACGAACAGGGAGTCTGGACTTTGGCCTAAGCCATCTCCCACCGTGGCAGAGAATACCAAACTATTAGAGTGAAGAACAATGGGAAAAGAGGCTTAAGGCTGGGAAGAAATAGTTCTCCCGGTTCACTGCAGACTTACAGTGTAAGGCTGAAGTTGAATTGAGAAAGCAAAGGCCCAGCCAGGTGCAGTGGCTCAGGCCTGTAATCCCAGCACTTTGGGAGGCAGAGGTGGGTGGATCACAAGGTCAGGCGATCGAGACCATCCTTGCTAACAGGGTGAAGCCCCGTCTTTACTAAAAATACAAGAAATTAGCTGGGTGTGGTGGCATGTGCCTGTAATCCCAGCTGCTCGGGAGGCTGAGGCAGGAGAATCACTTGAACCCACGAGGTAGAGGTTGCAGTGAGCCAAGATGGAGCCACTGCATTCCAGCCTGGGTGCCTGGGCAACAGAGCAAGAGCAAGACTCCATCTCAAAGGGAAAAAAAAAAAAAAAAGAAAAACCAGAAGCCCATTTTCCTGGCAATGGTCTGACAGGTCAACAAAATTATTTAACAGTGATTTCTTTATCTGGGAAAGCTGAACCCCTGACTAGGACCTCTCACAGAATAAAAGCTTTAGATGAGTGAACTCTAAAAGACAGCCTTTCCACTGGGCTCCCACTGAGTCCTTTCTAGACTAGACCTTTCTTTAGGGAACGACTGAGCCGTTGTGAGAAGGCTACCCATCTTGGCGGAAGTTCCTTCACCAGTGAGATGAGGCCAGGGTGCTTAGTCTTTACTGAGAATGTGGCAACAGAAATGCCAGCCAGAGGCAGCCTCACCAAATGTCGCAGAAAAAGCATGTGTCTCTCCAGCATTCACTTTGGCTGCCAAGGCTGTGTGCCTCACCCCCACTCTGAGGGATTTAGGTGCAGAATGTGGGAGCTGCCACAGCTCCATGAGATTGCATGTGGAATGTGGTCTTGGGGCAGTGGGGAACTCATTTCTGTGGTCCTGCCCGCACTTGAAGCTCAGCTGCAGAATCTCCTGCCTCTTGCAATGGCCCCCTCCTCTGCTGTGAGTCCAGGAACAATAGACTTGATGTGACTGGCAGGAGCCTGCTCAGTAATACCCAACAACACAACAGAGAAATTACTGCTTAATTTAAAACTGGTATGTCTTTTGCTTTACCAAAACCTCAGATGAACCTTGAGGTCTGACAGAATATTCTTAAAATTTGACGCAAGTGTTTCTAGATCTCACTCTTAAAATTCTATGCAAGGCTACCATACTCTACCCAGCTGAAGCCCAGCCAAACAGCACCCTCAACTGCCAAAAACATGATCCAGGATCCCAGAAGGAAGCTGAAACACAGAAAGCGACGATCCCAAGGAGTCGAGACAGAGCTAACAGTGTGTGGGCATGAAAATTCCTACACCTGTTCCCCAATAATCCTCTCAGAGCCTATGGACTCTGATTTTATACTAAAGGGTATCCAATTTCTAAGTCCAGAGCAGATAAGTGGCTAAAACCTAACAGCAGGGGAGCAAAGGCAGGGGGTAAACGATAAAACCTACAAGCATATGAGAGAGTACAAGCTGGGAAAATAAGAACGCACACATTGCCTCGAGCTAGCAAAAGCTCATTCCCCTAACAGCCCAAAGCGACTTGTAGAAGGAAGCTGCAAGCAGCAATCATTTAGTGAAAGCCAACCATAGAAACAGGAGTATCTACTAAGACAGATCTGTACCCTGCAGTACACCCACACCATGGGGTATCACAGAGCAATTAAAAAGGGCTCGACCGGCCGGGCACGGTGGCTCACGCCTGTAATCCCAGCACTTTGGGAGGCCGAGGCGGGTGGATCACGAGGTCGAGAGATCGAGACCATCCTGGTCAACATGGTGAAACCCCGTCTCTACAAAAAAAAAAAAAAAAAAGGCTCGATCTTCCCATCCCCAGTACAAAAAACATCAAAGACACCCTTGAGTAACAAAGCCAGATATTTACAGTGTATGTCGGACAGAAAGAAACAAAACCATACTGGGTATTTCCTAGGGATCTGTCTGGATAGCAGGACACAGAAAAATACAAGATGATGATGACGATGATGATCATTGCAACCTCCTGGGAGAACAAAGGGCTGCAAGCTTTCCATTCTTTCTTTCCTTTTTTTTTTTTTTTTTTTTTTGAGACCGAGTGTCTTGGCTGTTGCCCAGGCTGGAGTGCAGGGGTACAATCACAACTCACTGCAACATCTGTCTCCTTGGCTCAAGTAATTCTCCCACCTCAGCCCCCTGAGGAGCTGAGACTACAGGTGTGCACCACCATGCCCAGCTAATTTTTGTATTTTTTATAGAGACAGGGTTTCACCTTGTTGGTCAGGCTGGTCTTTAACTACTAGGCTCAAGCAATCCTCCCACCTTGGCTTCCCAAAGCGCTGGGATTACAGGCATGAGACAGTGCACCTGGACCATTACTTCTTTTAAACATGGACAATTTATTACAAACATAATTTCAAGTATATGCAAAGAAGTTCCAGCAATCTGGGCACAGAGGCAAGCCAAAGATTCCAGTAACAAACGCAACTGCACCAACATGATCATTTGTAGACTAATCATCTCTATCACTAACAGAAGAGGCTAAATTACAAGTCTGATTGCAAACAAACTTCAGAAAAGTTTCTTTCCCACATGGTAGAAAACTGTAATACTAAAAAGGAACGCTTCAGCTATTCAAAGGACTCTGGTAGTACCTAAAGAGGGGTCTTTCTAAATCACTGTTTTTCCAAAGTGAGATTCTCTAGATCCTACGGTACTAAAATGACATCAAAAACTGAAACAAAAACCCGCTCTGAAGCTCCCTGTAAAGGGACAGCTGGATCTGTATCGGAACAAACTCCCATTTTCTTTTATTTTAAAAAAGAAAAAATATAGAAGGCAAGCCAGCTCACAAAGTACAGTGGCAATAAATGCCCGGAGGCTCTCAATGCAGATTTCACTGCACCAACTCAGGGAAGAACAGACCCCACAGACAACCACACAGATCACATGGCAAACGTGAAACAATCTGCAAGCTTCCCACCAGCTCCCCCTGCAATCTGGAAAGAGGGGCTGGTGGGGAGGGAAAGTGTGAAAACAATGTATTCCCCAGAATAACAGGGGTTGTGGGCGTGCGGGATGGAGGGGTGCAGACCTCACGGAAAGGTGCTGAGTTAGGCACCAACATGCAGGAATCCTCAAAGGCACGGAGAGGAAGTAGGGGTTGTAGGTGGAGCCTCTCCCAGCTGGGATCTCAGGGAGCCCTGCCATCAGAGCAGAGCAGGGGGAGGCCTCCTCATCATCGCTTCACTTCACATAGCTTCAGTGAATGACAGGCCCCCCCGGGGTGGTTGTGGCCGCTTTCTGCCATAGGCTCTGGGCCAGCCTAAAGCCTTCACCACTTGTCAATTATTTGAAAAGCTGGACTAATACTGCCTTCTAGTGCATTCCAAAACCTCCAGCCTGTGTTCAGAACAAGATCTAGCATCCTAAATGCAGGGTTTCCTAAATATCGCACACTGTGTTTCATGTGCTCAGTTGTGTTAGCAAGGGGGCAGGACTGTTTCACCACAGTGCCCAACAAGGTGACTTCCCACTTTGCAGACTGAGCTGTGGATGAAAGGGCAAAATTAATAGAAACATGTGCTTGTATCCTGCTCTTGCTACATGGCTGCCAACACATCACAGGACAACATTCTGCAAAGTGGCAGCAGCCTGGAAGAAATTCAAGTGACTGAATGGACACTACAGGGTGGCCAAAGTGGAGAGACTTCAACTCTGATTTTGGGAGACTGAGTGGTGGCTTAGGTAGAAGTTGAAATGTGTAAATCCCAGTCTGGCACATTTAGCAACTTAGAAGAGGGTACTAGGCTTAGCACCTAAGTGATAAAATAATCTGCTTACCTATATAACAAACCTGCACATATAAAAAAAAGCTCACACCTGGAATCCTGGCACTTTGAGAGGCCAAAGTAGGCGGGATCACCTGAGGTCAGGAGTTCAGAACCAGCCTAACCAACATGGAGAAATCCCGTCTCTAGAAAAATATACAAAATTAGCCGGCATGGTGGTGCATACCTGTAGTCCCAGCTGCTCAGGAGACTGACAGGAGAACCACTTGAACCCGGAAGGCGGAGGTTGCGGTGAGCCCAGACAGCACCATTGCACTCCAGCCTGGGCAACAAGAACGAAACTCCGTCTTAAAAAGAAAAAAATGAAAAAAGAAAAAGTAGAAGCCCAGGCGCAGTGGCTAACGCCTGTAATCCCAGCATTTTGGGAGGCCAAGGCAAGCAGATCACTTGAGGTTAGAAGTTTGAGACCAGCCTAGCCAACATGGTAAAACCCATCTCTACCAAAAAAATACAAAAGTAGCTGGGTATGGTGGTGGGAGCCTGGAATCCCAAATACTCAGGAGGGTGAGGCAGGAGAATCGCTTGAACCCAGGAGGTGGAGGTTGCAGTGAGCCGAGATCACGCCACTGCATTCCGGCCTGACCGACAGTGAGACCACATCTCAAAAAAAAAGAAGAAAAGATTTGCTTCATTTTTATCATTTCATGAACCTAAAGAGGGAGCCATTTTTTCTTTTTTGCCTCTTCTCAGGTGAAAAACAAGAAATGGAGTCACTCAGGAAAATAAATGGTCCCAGCCAGACACAGTGGCTCATACCTGTAATTCCAGCACTTTGGGAGGCTGAAGCAGGTGGATCACCTGAGGTCAGGAGTTTGAGACCAGCTTGGCCATCATGGGGAAACCTAATTTCTACTAAAAATATGAAAACTAGCCGGGTATAATGGCAGGCGCCTCTAATCCCATCTACTTTGGAGGCTGAGGCAGGAGAATTGCTTGAACCTGGGAGGCAGAGGTTGCAGTGAGCTGTTATTATTCCACTGCACTCCAGCTCCAGCCTGGGAGATAGAACAAGATTACATCTAAAAAAAAAAATAAAGACAAATGGTTCCTTAGAGTTCAAAATTCCAAAAGCAAACAAGGTTGGTGGTTTATGGTCCAGGTGGTCTACTCATACCTGCTTACAGGTAGAGATTAAATGATCTATTTCAGGATCTACTCTCATATAAAGACCCAACATGAACAAACAGAAGTGCTACAAAACCAAAAACACAAAAAAGCACTGTTTCTTCTGGTTCTACATACTTAAGATAAAAAGTAAAAATTTTAAACAAACAGAAAAAGACATTGCTAAACATACCATGGGACTCATGACTGATTTTATCAGTTTGGTCCATAAGACCCTAAGGACACCATCTTGCTAATCAAAAACCAATGACAGAGACAGACCATGCAAAAGTCACGCTTATGGGTTTCTTAAAAATGGTTCCAGACAGGGTATCACTCTGTCACCCAGGCTGGAGTGCAGCGGTATGATCACAGCTCATGTAACCTCCAACTCCTGACCTCAAGTGATCCTCCTGCTTCAGCTTTCCCAGGTAGCTGGGACTACAGGCATGTGCCACCACGCCCAAATAATTAAAAAAAAAAAAAGTGGTGGCTCACGCCTGTAATCCAAGCACTTTGGAGGCCAAGGCAGGCTGATCACCTGAGGTTGGGAGTTCAAGACCAGCCTGACCAACACGGTGAAACCCTGTCTTAAAAAAAAAAAGTTTTTGCAGGGCTGGGCGCAGTGGCTCATGCCTGTAATTCCAGCACTTCGGGAGGCCAAGACAAGCAAATGACTTGAGGTCAGGAATTTAAGACCAGGCTGGCCAAGATGGTGAAACCCTGTCTCTACTAACAATATAAAAATTAGCCAGGTGTGGTGGCATGCACCTGTAATCCCAGTTATTAAGGAGGCTGAGGCAGGAGAATCATTTGAACCTGGCAGGTGGAAGTTGCAGTGAGCCGAGATCACTCCACTGCACTCCAGCCAGGGTGATAGAGACTCTGTCTCAAAAAAATAAAAATTATTTTGTAGAGACGGTGTCTATGTTAACCAGGTTGGTTTTGAAGTAATCTTCAAGCGATCTTCCCACCTCAGCCTCCCGGAAATGCTGGGATGACAGGTGTGAGCCACCATGCTCGGCCCCAGGTAAGGCTGTTTTTAAGATGAGTGGCTGTGCTGACAGGGGCTGACCCTACAGAATTCCCCATGTCATGTTTCCTGCCATCTCACTGCCACTTCAGTGCTCAGTGCCTCCGTACCCCCGAGGTCTCTACAGTTCTGTGCTTGGACGGGAGGGGCCCAGAGGAAGCTGGACCTGGAGTCTGAAGTGAGGGCTCAGATCCTAATTCCCTGAAACAGCTAAGCCATCGCTGATTAGGTGTGAACAACGGAGGCTAAACGGCAGGGTGTTACCCACACAAGACAGCAGGTACTGTTGATGAATCAAGTCCCAGGTGTATCACAACGAACGTACAACCGAACACTCTGAGTTTTGATACCGGGAAGAACTTCACGTCAAGTGGTCACAAGACCTAGCCCATGGCCCCGCTCACTCTGCCACAAACCATCTGGGTGATCCAGTGGGGACTGACAGCGCTCTGAGATCTGTGAACACTGATGTGTGGAGACTCCGTGGGAGATACTCACTCTGCGGACGGGTGTGGAGGTGGGGAAGGGACTCGTGCTGCTATGCTGCTTTGGGGGAGCAGGCAGCCCCTCAGGCGAGCTGGTGGAAGAGGGAGAGCTCAGGGAAGAATGGCTGAGTACAGAGTCTTCTTCGAGGCAAGATTCCAGCACCTCGTTCTCAGGGGTCATGCTCTTGCCTTGGGGTATTGCCAGAGGGGACTTAGTTTGGGGGGGTCTCACAGCCAAGATGTCCTGCAGGACCACCACGGGCACCTTCCCTCTGAACAGGATGCCCCCAGCTTCACTCCAGTCGTCCTGCTCCTTTCTGGAGCACATTCTCAGGCCACTCATCAGCTCCGGGCAGCTCTGTGGGGAACATTCCTGGGAGTCAACTCTCCTCCCCATGCCTCCAGAGCCAACACCCTCCTCCTCTGTTTTGCAAGGAATGTCTGAAAGGGTCTCTCCAGGAAATGCCAACTTGTCATTCTGAATGGCCTTCGGCAACCCCTGCTGATCCCCAGCTTCTTCTCTGTCGCCATTTACTGCTTCCCTGGAGGGAGAGGCTTCAGAATTTAGTTTATTGTGCTCCACAAGACTGTCAGGCGGCTCATTCGAGTCCTCTGTCAAATCAATGATGACTGTGCTCTGGCCAATACTAGTTTCGATTCTATTTCTTAAAAAGTTATCTAAGGGACCCTTCCCGTTGACAAGTTTTGGTCTCAAGTCTATGTCAGAACCCACATGACAGTCATTTTCCAAAGTGTCCAAAGAGGTCTCAGTCTCAAAATCGGGGCTTTTACTTTGCACAGATGTACCCCGGTCGTCAGACATGTCATCGGCTTTCTCCTTTGGGACAAGATTCAGCGGCTTAAACGGCAGACGGGCTGAAACAAAGACAGAAAGCCATCTTTACAGAATGTTGAGAGTTATAACCACTCATGAGCTTCAAAATTATTTACTTGTTGGGATATGGTGGGAATAATTTCAAAGTTTGAAAAGGGGCTATCTGGAGCCAGGCAACAGTGACTCACACCTATAATCCCAGCACTCTGGGAGGCTAAGGCAGGAGAACTGCTTGAGCCCAGTACGGTAGAGGCTGCAGTGAGTTATGATGGTACAATCACACTGAAGCCTTGGCAAAAGAGTGAGACTGTCTCAAAAAAAAAAAAAAAAAAAAAAAAAAAA